CCCCCCCCCCCCGCACAAGAAAAATCTTGCCTTTTTTTGTTGGCGGTAACCATGAAGGGTAGTCGAGTATATTACGTTGTGCGGGGTCGCGAACACCTCCGCGCAAGGGGGGTGATCGCACCACGTTGTGTTAAAACGGTCAAGCACCCTCGAGGCAGTTACACAGCGCTATCAACTGTCTCTGGAAGTGAAAGCACCAGAAACCAAATTAAGTCATACGCAGCTGTCATCCGTACGCAAGGAAGGAAGTACAAGATGCCGAACACCCTTAGCAGGATGCAGCGCACCCTTCATGCGACTCGCCGAATACCTCACGGCGCTTCGCGTTTGGTCATATGAGAGCCTGGTCCGGTGAGAACCTGGCGTGCTCCGTCCCGGCTTTGCAGGGACGCGAGGTTCACGGTCTAACGATTACGGCATGCACGACGATGAGTACACCCCCCCCTCCCCCCGCCCAAGAAAAACGCCCTCGGGTCCCCCCGTTCGCTCACCCTCTTGTATCGGCTCCCGACATCAAGCAGGCACTGATATTCTCCCGGGTACACGCGGAACTGCGCCCCTTGGTAGTTGACTAGGAACGGCTTCTTGGAGATGGTGCGAGAGTAGGCGCGCGTGCGGAGCAGGTAGACTGGCTTGATTTGAGACAGGAAGTCGTAGTGCAGGCTCTGCAAGTGACGCAAAGTGGAGACAGCGAGCGGCGGACGGGTGAGTTTTGAGAGGGGTGCTTGCGTTCGTCTGGAGTGGTGAACGTATCTGGATGTGTTCCAGGCCAACTGATGTTTTTGGTACTAATAGTTTGTCCTGTCCCTCCCTGCAACAGATACACAAACGTTTGTTACGCAAACCAAATAAAAATGTTGCGGCAGAGGAAGGCCTGACACCGAGAGGAAACTCTACGTGACGTCGGAAGTAGGATGACTCTTCAACCAACAATTCTCGTTATTATTTCCCTCTCTACTGTCGACTTCCACATAGTATTTGTTACACACGAATATCAAAATAATGCAATTACACATAGTTTTCGCTACACGAACATCAAAGAACGCAACATTAGAAAGCCGGCTACTTCCTAGAGCTGCGTTGAGGAGAGAGCGGGGTCGGGGACGGGGACGGGCGATCATTCGGCAGTGGCGCCCCTCAAACGTGTCACGGCCAAGTGAAGGAGGACAACCTTCGCACTCACGGCCAAGCAGCAGAAAATGGCCAACCAAGGCCGGAGGAAAGCCGGGTCAGAGGATACACAACAGTCAAGAACGTCCAATTTTCAAAGACGAAGACAAAACGCTTCTGCACTTTTTACACCGAACACGCCCTTGACAGCCCCCACCAAGCTCGACATTTCGTTTCGACAGAATAGCCAAGCGCAACAAAGAAAAAACATAATCACCTTCGGGGGGAAGGCGGGCAACCCGAGGTCGCCCCTAAGAGTGTCCAGCCTTAGGTTGAAGAACACGATCTTCGCGTCGGGTACGAGCTTGTTCAGCTCCTGCAGGTCGGGCAGCTCCTGGCACGAGAACACCAGGGCCACGTATATGTCCGTCCCCTCTATTGGCTGGTTTTCCGCGCACGAAAGGAGGCATGACGCGGGGGGGGGGGGGGGGGG